GCAGAGTAGATAGTGAGAGAGAGAGAGACAGAGAGAAAGGTCTTCCTTTGACGTTGGTTCACCCTCCAATGGCTGCCACGGCCAGCGCGCTGCGGATGGCACACAGCACTGATCCGATGGCGGGAGCCAGGTACTTCTCCTGGTCTCCCATGGGGTGCAGGGCCCAAGGACTTGGGCCATCCTCCACTGCACTCCCTGGCCACAGCAGAGAGCTGGCCTGGAAGAGGGGCAACTGGGACAGAATCCGGTGCCCTGAATGGGACTAGAACCCGGTGTGTTGGCACCGCAAGGTGGAGGATTAGCCTACTGAGCCGTGGCACCAGCACAAGATCTATCTTAACCTATTTTTATTGATATAAGAAAATGTCACAGGTTGGATAGTTTATAATCAACAGTATAATAACTAATAGTCCTGGAAGCTAGTGACAGCACTGTTGCTGTATCATGACATGATATTAGGAATCATGTGGAAGAGGGGTAAATAGGAGGAAGAAGCAGAAGCAAGAAGGTAGAAGGGGGGGGGAGTAACGGAAGGGAGATGTAGATAAAGACAGAGACATAACAGAGAATGAGTGAAAGGGAGATGAGCCTGTCCTTTTGTAAGGATTCCACCCTCAGGAGAGAAAATCCCTTCCCAGGATAACTTCAGAGCCCTCATGACTCAGAAACCTCTTAAAGGTCACAGCTCTTAATACATTGGTAATTAAATTTCAACATGAGTTTGGATAGATGAAAACATTCAAATGCTATTTTTTATTAACATAAAACAATTTAAAATTTAAAACATCAGTATCATTTACACTAGCACAAATAAATCTTCAGTCTTAGATATAATTATATGTGCATGAGAGATGTCAAAAAGACAAAGAAGTAGAAGACATAGAAATAGAGTGATGCTCTATATTTATGGATTGGGAGATTCAGTATTGCTAAGATGTCCATTGTCTCTCAGCTGATGTGTACATTCCATACAATTATGTTACGTCTCAAGGGGAATGTTTTGCAATGTTTTGAACCAGATCTTCAAGAGCACTTTGAAAGCCAAAGAAGTAATAACTGAGAACATAAGAATAATCAAATACATTTTCCAATCGGACAAATTTTAGAGACAACAAAATTGCTTTAAAACGCATTATAATGCTACAATAATCAATACTCTGCAGTAGTGACAAAAAGATACTCAGGTTGCTCAATGAAATGAATCGAGAATCCAGAAATAGATCCCCATGTACTATTATTGACAAAACTACACAGTTCATTTACTGATGTAAAATTTCTCCAATGAAATCCTGTCTTTTACAACACAGTGGATGCAACTGGAAACCATTATACTTAGTGAAATAAGCCAGTCCCCAAAAGACAAATACCATATGTTTTCTCTGATATATGGTAGCTAAATAAAGTACCAAAAATGTAATGGGTATGAGTGAATTTCAAATTTTGAAATACAATGATTGTTTATAGTCCTTGCCTCTACTGTTGAGGAACAGTTTTTTTTATTCTTACTATTTATTTTTTTATTTATTTACAGGCAGAGTAGACAGTGAGAGACAGAGAGACAGAGAGAAAGGTCTTCCTTTGCTATTGGTTCACCTTCCAGTGGCCACTGTGGCCAGCACCCTGCAGCAGGCGCACCGTGCTGATCCAAAGGCAGGAGCCAGGTGCTTCTCCTGGTCTCCCATGGGGTGCAGGGCCCAAGGACTTGGGCCATCCTCCACTGCACTCCTTGGCCACAGCAGAGAGCTGGCCTGGAAGAGGGGCAACAGGGACAGAATCCAGCGCCACACCAGGACTAGAACCCGGTGTGTTGGCACCGCAAGGCGGAGGATTAACCTATTGAGCCAAGGCTCCGGCCTTACTATTTACTGAACTCTTTACTTAGTGCAGGGTTAATCTTATGAGTATAAAGTAAACTGAATCTAGATCATTGTAAATATTGAGAGAGGGAATATGAGAACAAGGAAGAGGAAGTGTGAGAGTGCAAGTGGGGTGGACGGCAGAATGGGAAGTATCACTAAGCTCCTAAATCTGTATATATGTAATACACAGATGTCTTTATCTTGTTAGTAAATAAATAAATAAATAAAAAATAAATAAAACACAATGATATTGATTCAGTAGCATATTAAAGGGATTATACATCATGACAAATGAGATATATCCTGGGATTTCAAGGATGGCTCAACATGTGAACATTACCATAAACACAAAACATAAAAGTATATAAATCATATAGACTTCTACTTAATATAAAATGAGTAGCTTACGAGCAAAGAAAATTGGTTAATAAAGTATTTTCAGCACCTCAGAGCATTTTACGTGGCCATTACTGATGATGATTTTATTTGTTCTTTCAATCTCCATCCTGACTCAGTTGAAATCAGACTCTGGCTTTTCTTTATAGCTTCAACAGCTAAATAAGGAATCACTAATGCTGTTATCCAGTCCACAGAAGGGCAAAAGCCATGTGGGAAAATGCACCTAAGCACTGGAATCAGGTCTATCATGATTATAACTGTAACATGCCACATCTCCCTACAGAAAGACTGGAAATGTGTGATCAGGAAGAGTGAATAGCACCAATCTGCCACACTGGGCTACACATGTTGGTACCTAGCAAACTTCACTGATGTGAGATTAAAAAATGTATAAATAAGGAATTGATTGATAGTATAGGGGCAAAGGAAGAACCCAAAACAAGAATGCTTGTAAGAGAAAGGCCATATTTGCTTGTTCCCATTCACTGTATAGGTCAGGATTAAGATTGTTTGCTTGTTTCCCTTCACTGTATAGGACAGATTAAGATTATATCCACACATTCTAAATTATGCAGGGCCATTATGAACTATAAAATATGAAAGTCACTTTTTGGAAACTTTTCTTATTTTAGTATTTTGCTCTTGTTTTTCCTAGGCTTGTGTTATTCACCAAAGTCATTGATTATTCGTGTTACACTGATTTTTAAAAATAGGTAAATTAGGGGTGGACATTGTGGTGCAATGGTTAAACTGTCATGTGGGACATCTGCATCTCCTATCACAGTGCATGATTCAAGTCCCTGTTATCCCACTTCCAATCCAGCTTTCTGCTAGTACACCTGTTAAAGCAGATCAAAGTCCAAATAATTTAGTCCCTGTCATCCATGTGGGAGACTTGAATGAAGTTCCTGGATCCTGGCTTCAGCCTGACCAATCCCTGCCAATGTGAGCACTTGGGGAGGGAACCTGTCAATGGAAGCTCGCTCCCTCCCTCTCTCATCTCTGTTACTCTGCTTTCAAATATATAAAGAAATCTTTTAAAAGTAAATAAATAAGATAAAAGCAGGTAAATTAGTACAATTATAATAGTAATAAACCCTTACACATTTTAAATAAAACACACCAAGGCCCAGTCTCAGTTCTACCACACATCAGTTGTGATTTGGAACAATCCATGAATACCTTTGAGCATTGGACCCATCAACTATGAAATGTGACCTAGATTCACCTGTCCCATTCTTCATCCAAGTTCTTCCTTAAGAAGCTCAGATACTCACAGAAGTGATGGTGCAGGAGAAACTGCATAATCCTCCTCCAGGAGCAATTTTAACATCTGTTCATGTGTCTGTCCCCATATTTGAAATAAGTTAACTCAGCTTCATGTTAGCAATAGTCTTTACATCGCTCAGGATCCACCATCCTGCCACTCAATGAGGAAGATAAAAATCTCTGCCTCTGGTGTAAAACATTCTCATTGTTAGATTTTAATGTTTTAAGGTACACATTTTTGAACAACATGGCCTCTGAATATCAACTGCTCATCTGGGGTTGAGCATAATTCACAGTGAAATAAATATTCCAGTCGCAAGGGAAACTCCACCTGTGCTATTCTTTAGTAAAAGCTCCATGTCAACACTCAGAAGGACAATATAACACCATAGTCAGTTTTCAGGAGTAATCTTTACTATATAAAACCATTTTAGCCTCTTTCCATGTGATCAGATATAACTCTATGTTGGATTGTGAAAATATAGCTTAGTATTTCCCCTTTCCTGTGCCTTAATGATGCTGGTGACATATATCTCATGGCCACAGGTTGCTAGGCACTAAGCAGGTAAAAAATGGTGTGTGCATGTGTGTATGTGCGCCTGAAAGGCAGCAGTGTAAACATGAGTGAGGGATAAGGAAGTAATGGAGGTAGGTCTCAAATGGATTTTACTTCTGGCTTTCAAGAGTTCTTCACTGGAGGCCAATCTGGCCATGCTCATTCCAAATTCATCCCAAGCAACAATAGCAGCTTCCTTAGAGAAAGTTAACATTCAATGTTTCCAGGATGTAACCAGGAAACATTCTTTCTGACCTTTGATTGGAGGGCCATTTTCTGTTATTACCTATAAAGTCCAGGCTTGCTCAATGACTTGCAATATTTTAATGATTTGTGACTATTTTAAAATTTATTTAGGTGAAGCAGAACATCTTTTTACTGGATTATTGTCTACAGCCCTTGCTTATCTTCCTTTTGGAGTTTTTACTTGTGTTTTTGTTTTTTATTTGTTGAGCTATTTTTTAGTAGAGCAACTAAATCTTTGACTATACTGTAAATTAAAAATATGATAACAAAAGAAATTAAATTTTAAAAAAATCCCTGCCTGTACATAGGTATGGTTAGGTGAGTCCCATGGCTTGCCTGCCTAGTCCTCAGATGTGGCAATTTCAGTGGAATAAACCTCCTCTATTACTTCTTTAGTTCCATTCACATTTTTTTAAAAGTCACAAGATTAACTCTACATGTACATGTAAAATACCCCAAATCCCCTCACCTTGGAATGAAAACCAAATACACATATCATGCCTAAACTTGCTAACTAAAAGCTATCAACTAAGATGAGTTTTAAATTTTGGCTACCCTTAACTTCTACGACCTATCTTTATAACCTTTTAATTATTTTCCCTAAAATAATACTCAAGACTGAAGACTATATTTTAAAATTTGTATTTCTTGATATTGAAACATATTTCGGGTGGCTGCGTCGGGCTGCAGGAGAAGATGGCGGTCTCCACAGGAGTTAAAGTTCCTCGTAATTTTCGCTTGTTGGAAGAACTTGAAGAAGGACAAAAAGGAGTAGGTGATGGTACGGTTAGCTGGGGCCTTGAAGATGATGAATATATGACACTTACAAGGTGGACAGGCATGATTATTGGGCCACCAAGGACAAATTATGAGAACAGAATATATAGCCTGAAAGTAGAATGTGGACCTAAATACCCAGAAACTCCTCCATCAGTTAGATTTGTAACAAAAATTAATATGAATGGGATAAATAATTCCAGTGGAATGGTGGATGCACGGAGCATACCAGTTTTAGCAAAATGGCAAAATTCATATAGCATTAAAGTTGTACTTGAAGAGCTAAGACGTCTAATTATGTCCAAAGAAAATATGAAGCTTCCACAGCAACCAGAAGGACAAACATAAAACAATTAATTTTAATGGATCTCAAACTTGTCTTAAATCAACAACCTTCTACTCATATTAATGTCTTGATTAAATATCACAATGCAGAATACCCACACATTCAGTAAAGAATTCCAGCTGGTATATGTGACCCGGACATTTGTAATATATTTAATATATGTACACCCATTATGTTTTCAGGTAACGGGAGGAAAAATGCAGCACAATTTTTCTTTCTCTTGTTGAGGCACTGTCATTTAAATATAAACCTGGAGTGCTCCAAGTAGGATTCAGGTTTACAAGACGCAAGCGTGGTGAGACATGTGAGATGGCAGTGGAAACGTGTGTTTCTGAAAAGTAAAAATCCGAAGAAGGACAAACAGAAATGGCATGCTTTATCCATCTTGCTTAGTGAAAGAGCTGCTGTTGAAATTGTTTAAAGTAGCAGGTACAATGAATATTGTCACAAATTGTGTTAAATTTTAAAGCGGTGTGGGTGCTGACTACTAGTAGTATAAAAATATGTTCAGGATTGTTTTGATACCTGTATTTATAATAAAAAATGTTGGGGGGGGTCGATGAATTCCTGTTAAAAGCTGTTCCTGTGTGTTACATGTAACAGACATGGTAAATATTTGTTTACATTCTTTGTTTAACAAACCATGCATTTAAGTTCAAGTGAAGTCAACAAAAAAAGAAAATAGGTGTATGGAGATGTGATTTTGAGATTAAAGTTAGTCATAAAATGTAAATAAAATGTGGAAAGTGTCCTCGGTGACTGTGCGATTTCTATTATGTTGATATAATTTGCGTACAGTACCTTGCCAAGGTAGCACAAATTGGAGTTACTGTAGTTTTTCATCTGTAAGCACCTTTTAGTATGATTCTGCTTTGTATACTTGTGAATTGGAATTTGCAGAGTATTTCACAGAATAAATTACATGATTTGTTTAAAAAAAGAAATATATTTCATTTGTATTCTAAAGTTTGTTCAACAAAAGATCTGTAATCTAGTTTAACCCACTCTTTGGACTATTCAATTTTAATGCTAACATATGTATTGGAGTGTATGCACTACTGCAATGTCTACAAAGCTTTAAAAATAGCAGAGATGGTAGTTACTTACATATAGACAATGTACTTTCTACAGCCAAAACTATTTTATCCAGAGGAACAGTGAGTTAACACATAAATCAAAGAAACCTAACCAAGTTAATCATTTTATATAAATAGAACGTTTTTGTCCTAGAAGCTGAGATTGAGACAGACAGACACAGAGTCCCCATCAGCTGTTTCACTACACAAACGCCCAGAACAACTGAGGCTGGGCGTAGGTGATGCCGAGAGTGGGCTATTCAATTCACGTCTCCTAGGTAGGTGGCAAGAAAACAACTACCTGAGCCATTCCTGCTGCCTTCCAGGGTCTGCATTAGTGGAAAACTGGAAACAGGACCTGGAACCAGGTTATCAAATCCAGTACTCAGATATAGGACTTGGGTGTTGTAACCAACACTTACCCACTAAGCCAAATGCCTCCTCTGTTAAGAGAGCTTTTTTGGGTGAAAAACATGCAACTTGATGTTGGGGCTTGTGTATGAGATCTGAGTGTTCATTTCAAATTACAAATCAAGGCTTTAGTAATGCCAAGAATCTGGAAACAAATGAACATGCCAAAGCCAGGGAACTGGAACTCAGCCTAATTCTCCCATGTGGGTAGTAGGGACTGAACTATTAGGGTCTTCATCTGGTTCTTCCCAGAATGCACATCAGCAGGTACCTACATTAGAAGCAGAGGAGCCAGGACTAGACCAAGCACTCTGATAGGAGATGCAGACATCACACGGAGCAATTAACAACTGTGCCACGTGCCTGCCCCACAAATGAACACCAAGAAAACACTTTTCTAAATTTCACAGTACTTAAATTTTGAGCAGGTGTTACCAAAATGGTAAATAGTAAAAATCATTATGTCTATCTTAGACAATTGTTGCTTCATCAAGGATTAAAGATGTTCAGAGTAGTCATCCTTTGCCTGTTTTATCAAAAGAAAAACAATACAACATCCTATTCTGCCAAATAAATTTTCATGATTTGTTGATTTATCAATGTTTCTTTCAATTAATCATTGCTCTCCCAACTACAGTGTGAGGTTTTAGTACCTTAAAAAGCATTTAAGATGAACAAATGGACACCATGAATGATCCAGTTGTTCCCAGGTACTCCTGCCTCAAGGGTTTGACATCTCTTTAATATCAAGTAACATAAAGCTCATCTTGTTCAGATAAATCCTGGGATCACCATAATATATCCAGGGCCTTTCCATTTACAGAGGAGGATCTAAAATAAGAGCTTCAATTGTCCATAATTTTATTTTCTGAATTCCTTCATTCTAAGTTCAGTCTAAGTTATTACTATCATTGTTCACTATTTTATCTCCTGAAACTGCTGCCCTTTCTCTTCCTGGTTCCCCACAAATGTGGCCACACCTTAAATAATTCCTTGCATACAACATAATCAGTGTGTGGCTATGGTGGATTATAAGTCTTATCAAAGTTTTAAGACAGTTCTCTACATAACTAAAACAAATTTGGAAATCAATATGGTTTCTAAGTCATCACTGAGCATTCCCTGCAGAGTGATCACGTAATTCATTTGTTGTGTGCCTCTTTAGGTTCTGGGCTAAAGGCAGACTGCTGAATGGCTTTCTCTTCCATGATTCTAATTAATTGTAAAGCACTTGATAGCATTTCAAAATATTTTTATTGTTCTAATTGTGTGCACAATGCAGCTCCCTACTCATCCCATTTCTTTTCCACATATCCTAGCTCAAGAGACCACCTCTTCCAAAACAAGAAGGACCATAAATAGCTTACGTAAATCAAACAAATAAATAAAGCAACTGTCACCCCGAGAGATGTGTAAATACTTGGAAACTAAGCAAATTAACTTTCAAAATAGAAATGACTTCTATATTTCATCTTTAGTTAAATAAAATACAAATGAAGTAAACAAGAAGTATATCAGAAAGAATAGACGCCTTGAAATCAAGAGAATATCCACTCTAGGATCTTTCATTAAGAGCTTGTAAGACTTTAAACAAATTATCAATTTTGCTGACCTTTGGTATCTTACCTAAGTGATAAATATCTATCAATGATCTACTATAAGCTACTTTGGGTTTACATAAGTAAATATAAATTTTTTCCAAAGGAAGCTTAATGTATACTGACTAATGTATATATAATACATACTGTAAAATTATACTTACTAGTCCTTGTGGAAACTTGTATATCCACAAAATACTCTCATCTGAAGGAGACCTTTTCCTGTGAGGGCAAGAATGTAAAGATAAGAATAGAGACAGATTGCCTGATTCCAATAGCACATGACAGCCGGAAGCAAAGAAACCCACACACTGCAAGAGGCACATTTTTATCCTAGCATTACTTCATTTGATCATTGGTGGAAGTATTAATCTATCCCAGATAAAAAATGCATAAGGATAGTGGAAAATGCATAAACAAAATTATATTTAACCTTATATTAATCAGAAACAAATGATGAATAGGGGAAATGATACAATTCATGGAGAAAAAAAATGTTCAATACTAAAATAATTGGAAACAAATGGACAAGACACTCAATTAAAAATTACCATAAAACAATATGAAAAGATATTTCTCTTTAAACATATTTCTAATTCTGGAACTATCTATAAAGAACATACAATTTTTGAATGAAATTTTCTTCTATTCAGGGTTCTTCTCAGTGCAAATTGAACATCTTTGTTCCGAAGACTGTAGATTAGGGGATTCATCATGGGAACCACATTGGTGTAAAACACAGAGGAGATTTTACCCTCATCCATGGTCCCAGCAGAAGATGGCTTAAGATACATGAACGCACCTGATCCAAAGAAAAGGATAACAGCAATTATGTGAGAACTGCAGGTGCTGAAGGCTTTGGACCTGCCCTCAGTGGAGTTTATTTGAAAGATGCTGGAGAGAATGAAACCATAAGAGAGAAAGATGGTGAGGCTGGGCACAATGATGTTGATGCCAGCCAAAATGAAAACCTCCAGTTCGTTGACATATGTGCTGGTGCAGGAGAGCTGCATCACTGGGAGGATGTCACAGAAGTAGTGGTTAATGGTGTTTGCTTTGCAGAAGGTCAGTCTCAGCATGCATCCAGTGTGGGCCATGGCACCTGAAAAGGCCATCAAGTATGAACCAAGCAAAAGGTTGGAACATACTTTAGGGGACATGACTATGTTATACAGAAGTGGATTACAGATGGCCACATAACGATCATAGGCCATTGACATGAGTATATAGCATTCAGAAATGACAAAAAAAGAGTAAAAGTATAACTGGGCCATGCATCCCGTGTAAGAGATAACATTCTTCTTTGAGATGAAGTTCATCAGCATTTTGGGTGTAAACACAGATGAATAGCAGAGGTCTATGAAGGACAAGTTAACGAGAAAAAAGTACATGGGAGTGTGCAGTTGTGAATTCAACCCAATTAAAATTACCAAGCTCAAATTTCCCAACACAGTGACTACATAAATGACTAGAAACAGGAAGAACAGGAGAAGTTGGAGATCTGGCCGGTCTGTTAACCCCATCAGAATGAATTCAGTCACAGAAGATCCATTGCAAAGAGCCATTCTTCTCTCAGGGAGTCTGTGGACAAAGGTTGGAATGCTTGCGTTAGAGAATAATCCAGCTCTTCGTGCAGCATCTTCTTCCATAACTGAGATGTCTGTGCTAGAATACCCAAGACTAGCCCTTCATGAGCCAACAGAACTGCCTGATGCCATGCAGTACTTTCTCCCACTTACTTGTCTTCCATTCTAAACACAGCAAAGTGTGACACCAGTTTAGCCATCAGAGGACAGACCAATGACATATGCTCTGTGACCACTGGAAAATCCAAGCAAAGAAGAGTCGACCTGGACAAATCTTCTTTTCTACTCTCAATGTTCATTCATTTGAGATCCCCCTTCACCAGAAAAATTAGAGGTAGATGACTAATGCTAAACTCTAACGTAGATTAGACTCTGCTGGAATGAGAATATATGGTGTTTTTAATCAAAAATTAAGAAATCTAGGAGAAGTTAAATTAATGAGTCTAGGAGAAGTGAAGTTACTTCCCCGTGTTACAGAAGCAAGGCCCTACATCTAGAACAGTGAGTGACACGTTCATGGAGGGGGAACTGACTGACTGAATTTCCATAAATTGTGCATCTCCGATGTTCCTGTACAATCTGTATTTCCCT